AAGCGCGAGGGGGAGCCTATTCGAGAACTCGTCAGAACTTCGGCAGATGGTTATGAGAACTTTGACGGCGCCGACTGGAGTCTTTATTTTCCAAAACAACCATGGTGCATCTGCAAGATACTGTAGCACGGTAACGGAGATGGATCTAGAGTTGCTAGATTGCTAGGTTCTGGTAATGGAGTTGGCAAAAAGACAAAAGAGGATGAGTAGGTGATTTGTATGCCCCTTGGATCAGATCAGGGATGACACTGGGGAGTTTGTGACACTAGTCCAACCCCTGCGACAGGACGAAGAGCATCACTTCGGGAAGGACGACCACACAGACAGCTGGAAAGGCCTACCAAGGACCAATCACTGAAAGCTTGAGGTCTGCACGGGTTTGCGACCGTCCTACGTGTAGTCAGGATTTTTTTGAGGTGCGCGTCAACAGTTGCAGAACCTCTGTGCGGGGGGCGTGGTTGAGCACACAGACAGATTTGACGGTTGCAGAGGCTATGCGTCGGAAGCATAAATTGGCCTTTAACCCCACATTGCTCCCCGCGCTACACAATGGCAGCCCACTGCTCCCAAAGGGGATGGGTTCATTTCGTTGCTCTGTACTTGTGACAGTATAATGACGATTAAAATGCTGGAAAAAAGACACAGGAGAAACAATAAAGCCAGGGATAAAAAACTATTTAGAAATTATAACATCACCAAAATGGTAAAACACTGGCCTAAAAGCTTGTTAACTTCCCCACAGGCAATCAGGTATTGCTTAGTCAACTTAATTCAAACATGATGTCATGAAATCATGTCAAACGTCTTTAAAACAGCATATCCAACATGTGAAGGTGAAGTGTTTTACACATATTTTCCAAAACTCAGAGATAATCTGCATTTTAAAGGCAGATTTATTCGTCAACCATCCCTGCAGTGAACGTCTCCCACATCCTGCAGACGTACCAACCCCTAAGTGTGCCTTCTTTCTATATGGCTGCAGCTGTTGCTGGGGTCGTCTGGGATGCATCACTGTCAGCGAAAAACAATAGTCTGACAGGAAAGAGGGAGGCGGAGTGTTTGAGAGAGTTTAGCCTCCCAGAGGGAGTCAGCGTACGGCAGGTCAGGAAAGAGGAGTGGCCGGGAGCAACAGCTGCTGTCAGTGACATGAATTTTACTCACAGAAGGTGAGGGGGGGCAATAATTGGAGGAAGGCTTCATCCTGTAGCGAAACAGAAAAGGAATCAGATGGAGGGATTGAATGACGTTTGGCTTTAAGTTGTTTACTGATCATTTTTAGAAACAGATCGACCTATGACACTTGGACACTCCTGACACTTCACTCTTCAATCAACAGACCTTATTATATTAATCTTATATTAAATTGCTGAGGGAAAATGTCATTTTAAACTTTTTCTTTAGATTCTTTAGTTTTATTTCATTGCTCAAACATTACATAAAGTCCCCTGATATGTTCTGCTCTAAGCAGCAGCAGACTGTGGTAATGGAAATGCATTGGTTGCATTGTGACATTGTTTGTTGTCCTTTAGTCCCGCCTCCTTTTATTCCTGCAGCGTCTGGAGGGCATAGCCCTGATCAACAGTAGGCCCCATGCAGCCTTGACCTCTGCCCTCACCCTTCTCACCCATTTTCTGCTCAACCACCAGCAGATTCACACCCAAAAACCCATCTGGGCTTCCCTTTAAAGCTGCTATACAACAATCCCAATTCAGAGCTGAAGTATCTGAAGCATCCCCTGACTGTGAATGCCAAGAAAACACAAAACAAATTTGGTGCTTTGGTAACTGCTGCATAAAATCTGTAGCGATTTGTGAAAACAAAAAAAAAAATTCAATAAAAAAAGTTGTAACCCTTGAACTTTTTGTTATTGCAACCAACGGTTTCAGGGTAGTTTATGGGAATTTAAAGGGCAACAAAAAGTACATCATTAAACACATTTCTTTGAATGATTGACTAAAAAGAACATGTGCATTTTTATTTACAGCTGCAAGTCTCGTGGGTCATTTTTCCACCACCTTTGTAGTCTAAGTCTTTTCTCCATTTTTAAAAGCCAAGTAGCTCATTCTCAGTCTGACCTATCAAAAACCTTTTGAGAACATTATTTTGTTCATGTCTTACTGTTACCTTCCTGCAAGAATCAGTGTAACTTTTGCAGCCTCCGACATCCAGGAGAAAAACATCCCAACAACGGGACTCTGGCACAAACATCTTTTACTGCCTGAAGCATCCTTTTCTGTAAATGGTAAGTGGTCTGTACTTCTATAGCACTTTTTCAAGTCAGGAGACTCGACCAAAGCACTTTACACTACATTCAGTCATTCACCCATACATGCACACACTCACGGTGGCAGGCTACATTATAGCGACAGCTGCCCTGGGGCTCACTAACAGAAGCAACCACCATCAGTAGACAATGCAGGTGAAGTGTCTTGCCCAAAGACACAATGACATTGAAAGCCGGAGCAAGGGCTTGAACCGTCAACCCTCCCCTTTCATTGTAAACTCCTACATCCAACGACACTGTCACCCTTACATATGCTTCCTAAATGAACTGAACAACTTCTTTGGAAGGTTTGAGGCACTAAACAGTACTCCAGTGGTGAAAGCCGTTCCACGTCAGGGAGAGGAGGCATTCTACCTTGACACCGCTGATGTGTGGAAGACTCTGAGGAGAGTTTACCCAAGATAGGCCCCTGGCCCCGATAACAAACCTGGGTGGGTGTATAAGGAGTGTGCAGATCAGCTGGCTGGTGTCCTCAAAGACATTTCGCCGGACCGAACCTTAGTGCCAGCATGCTTTAAGTCGGCCACCGTCATTCCGGTCCCAAAGAAACCTCAGGTTAACGGATTTAATAACTACCGGGCTGACTACCATCATGATGAAGTGCTTTGAAAGGCTGGTTAAGGAACACATCGTCTCCAGCCTCCCCCCCAACATTCCACCTCTTCAGGTTCCCTTACCGACTGAACCGCTCCACTTAGGACACCGCCTCCTATGCTCTTCAGCTGAGTCTGGCACACCTGGAGGGGAAGAACACCCACGTGTGGACGCCGTTCCTGGACTTCAGTTCAGCTTTCAAAACCATCATCCCACAGCATCTAATAGGAAAACTGGAGTAGCTAGGCTTCAATACACCCCTCTGCAATTGGTCTCAGTCAGTCTGGGTTGGACAGAACACCTCTGATGTCATCACCCTAACAACAGGCGACCATCAGGGCTGCGTCCTGAGCCCCCTGCTATTTACTCTGATGAAACATGACTGCGTCCCCAGGTTCACCACCAATCACATCATGAAGGAGGTCATCTTTGACTTCAGGAAGAACTGGCCTAACCACACACTGGAAAAACAACCTAGAAATAAGTTAAAATTTCCTAAATTAAGAGTATATACCCCTAATATGGGTAGGTAAATTAGATAGTTTGCCAATGGAATTAGTATTTTTATTCTTAATATAAGCTAATTAGATAATATGCACTTGAAATAAGACAATGCAATTGTGTTTTCTTATTTTAAGTGTAAATTGTCTCGTTCTATTGGCAAAATGACTCTTTTTACCTCCTTAATCCAAGAACAAATGTACTTATTTTAAGAAAAAATAACTTATATAGATTTCAATTTTTTCCAGTGCACTCCACTGGTCATCAACAGCTCAATTTGCAGCACCAAAATCCTGGGGGTGCACATCACAGACACCCTCACCTGGACTGTAAACACCACCTCACTGGTCAAAAGGGCACAAAAGCTCATGTACTTCCTGCGAAAGGGTGAGGAGAGCCCACCTGCCCCCTCCCATCCTCACCACCTTCTACAGAAGCACCACAGAGAGCGTTCTGACCAGCTGTCTCACTGTGTGGTGTGGAGGCTGCAGCACCTCAGACTGGAAGGAAGTGAGGAGAGTGGTGAGAACAGCAGAGAGGATCATCGGGGCTCCTCTTCCCTCCATAAAAGACATTTCATCCCAGCACTGTGTGTCCTGAGCCGGTGACATCATCAATGACCCTCACACCCCCACCATCGACTGTTCTCCCTTCTGGGAAGAGGCTTCTGTACCAGATTCTTCCCCACTCACACTGATAGTACCAAACCAAAATACTACATATTTGCACCATATATATTTACCTTGAAATGTGAACTCGATATCAATGAGTTTCTGCATTATGTTTTTTTTTTCTTTTTTAATCTCTGCTGCACTTTATGAAATGAAAATGTTAATTTTGCTGCCAAGCTGCTGCTCATCCACTATCTGAAACCTGTACAAAACAAAATTTCGTTTTGGCTACACTGTATTGAAATGATAAAAGTTATCCAAGTCTAAGTCTGGTGCCACACATGCCTCATGTTGGCCAAAATGTCTATACCTGTGCTACCCTTTTATATCTCCTGTTTGCTGCTGGGACAATAAAGGGATTGTATACTATTCGGTTCGAAAAGATGTAAATAAAATAACACCTGCTTTACATTCTCCAATCACGGCCGATATCTCCTGTGTTATCTCTATGAGTGTTTGCAGCTTCTCTTGTGTTGTCCCTTGCTTCCCTGATCAATTTGCTCCCTGTACATCTTGTCACTTTCTGTTTGCACTCATATTTCACTGATAAAGCTCCATTAACCATATCCTAGGATGGTGTTTTATGACTCAATCTTGCTTTAAAACTCTCCCTTATCTGTGATTTTACCATCACTAAACAGGTGGAATCAAAGCGCAAAACACAGCGAAGTGCTCTCTTTAAAGGTGGCAGAGCAAAGGAAGGGTTTTGGGGGTTACAATAATTTTTAAAACAAAATGAATTTTGTTCCTACCCCTAAAATTGTACCATACCTGCATTTAGCTGGTCAAATCATCTTCTAGTTGTAATGAGAAACATTTAAAGGGAGAAAAGACTTTCAAAAGGCACAGAATCTGATTTTTTTTATGATTTAAGTCCATGAGGAAATCTTAGGTAAAGTTAGCAATAAAATCTTTTATTTGCCAAAAAAACAATCAAACAAATAAACTTACAAAGTCTCTTTAAAACACAAACTGCCACAAATAATAACACAGAGGTAAAAAGCTTCACCATCCTTTCACTTTACTGCAGAAATGCTGGTAATATCAGTGCACAGTCACCCTCTTTGCATCTTGTTTCCCTCTGCAGGGTGAGTGCGGCAGAAACGGGAAGACGTGCCAACGACAGTGAAACCTGATCTGCACACAGCGCAGCAGAGGTCACTCTGCTGGTGGCGCTTTAAAGCGGAGGAAAGAAGCACAAATAAACCCAACAACCCGCTGGAATTTTAAACCAGAGAACTCCCCTCTGCACAACCATCTTTTAAAACATTCAATTTTTTGTCATTTCAGCTTTTAAGGCCGTTCAATTCCAAGAGTTTAGACCTGAATTTATTCTTTAGAACTGATATGCATTATAGAACGTTTGTTTATAGAAAAGGGTAGTAAATATTAAGGTAGCAAATATAAATGCAGGCACTTCAACGGCTTCCGCTCCATATTAATCAAATGAGCATCATTCGAACAAATATCCCAGATTTTGCTGCTAAAATGCTTCTCTGCTGCAAGAAAGTTATTCGCTAAGAATCTGGGAGGTGTTTAAAATATTAAAGTCATTTAAGAGAGGCAGGAATCAAGATGCTGATTTATTCTTGACTCGTCCACTTTAGCTTGGCACACAGGACAGCTGACCATTACCAGCGAGGAGGAAGAGGAGCTGCTCGGTCCGGAGGACTGAGCCGATGAGGGCGTGGCAGCAGAAGCTGACTGCATCTTTGCCTTTTCCCTTGAGGCTGCTGAATTGCTGCTTAATGTCTTCTCGAAGAAATCAAAGATCCTGGCTGAGCTGCTTCGGTCGTCCCATGACCTCTTCCTTGACGGCTGACCTCCAACTGCAGAGCCGAGTTTAACGGCAGAATCTTTGAAATATTTGGATTGGGTCGATGTTTTGGCGCTGCCCTCAGCTGCTGCGTGTTTTAAAGGGGTTTGCTGCAGACTGGAGTTAGATGTAAAGGGAGGGGATATCTCAGTGGAAACGTTTGATCCTTTGGTCTCAGACAACTGACTCGGTGAATTCCTGACGTTACTGCCGTTAAAAAGCTTCTGAATAGAAGTCTGTTTGATTTGATCTCCTTGATGGTTTCCAGCGTTGCTCTGGGATTTAGAAACTTTAACAGGCGAGCCGTTAATGTTGACAAAGACTCTAGTGTTTCCGACGGATCGCTTCACGGGAGGTTTTCCCCCGGTGGCGCTAGCCGGTCTGAAAGATGGTGGGACGTTTGAGATCGAGTCGCTTTCATTGGATGAGCCGGAGCGGATTGGAGAGGAGAAACCTCTGAGAGGAGAGGAAGGGATGGAGGATGTTTTAGGAGCGGAGGTGGAGCTGGATGAAGCAGGCACCGATGGAGAGCGAGGTAGAGAGGAAGAAGAGGAGGTTTGGGACATCCCCCCCAGGAGGAAGCCTTTCCCACTGAAAGGGATTATGTTCCTGATGTCCTGAGATCCAGAACCTGAGCAGAGAGACAACAGCTATTGAGAACTGTGCTGTTGGTACAGATAAAGGTGAACACTGTATATTAGATTAATAATGATCACCTTTGACCGTTTCTGTTGGCTTCTTCTTCCTCTCTGACGACTTTGCCTCCTTCTTGTTTTTTTTCCCGTATCCTTCAGGCTCCTTGATCTTGGTGTACGTCCCACCACATGTCCTCTGGTGGTCCCCCCACCAGGGGTCCAGGGAAGAAGGGGCCCGGTTCATGGCCCTCTTCACATACCCAAAGTAAGGCTTACGAGTCTGGCAGGGCCCGTTGCATCTCCACCAGTGCTGCCGGTAGACGTCCACTTCGTCATGGAAGCTGTGGTAGATCTAGAATAGAAAAAGGCAGTTTCAGGTCAACAATACGAGGATGATAAGCTGACGGACGCCAGATCAGGAGGAAGTACGCCTACTGTGATGTTTGTCCCGCTGGCTTTGTTGATCCTGTTCATGTGTTTGCAGAACTCGGGTCCGTGGCCGTCTCGGTCTCGGTTGTTCTGAGTCACGAACAGGAGGGCGTGGATCATTTCATGAAGGAGAGTCTGTGGTGAAAAAAAAAAATGTTTAATTTCACTTTCCCATGACAGGAACTGAAGAGAAACAATAAATAGTAATTAAATGTAACCTTTTAGGCACATTATGGAGCTTAAAGGAATAGTACACCCAAAACATGATTAGCCTTCATTTTCTACTCACCCCCATGCTGAACAACACTCTGGAGTACTTTTTTGATATCTCAAATGCATCTGGAGATCTGGGAGGCTTCTTGCTGTCTGCTTACATTGAAATAATGGAGGTCTATGGTGACCGAGGCAGAAAGGTCCATAAAAGTCCACAAAAAACGTGTCAATATTCCTCCATACTGCTCGTCCAATGTATTCCAAGTGTCCTGAGTGGATAGCATCCAGAATTTACTCGAAACGAAGTCATTTAGAATGTTTTTAGAGCATAAACAGTAGTGTATAGGATTTCCTAAAAGCGTGTTCACGAGTCTACGGAAACCGCGGCAGACCAAACCAGATGAAAGTGCGCATTCAGCTCGGCAAAGAACTCATGCTCTTCCTCAACACTGAAGTCCTCAGACATTTTTCTTTCGTTGTTTTTTTATTTGCACAGGTAAACAGTACATTTCTTCTTCTACGCTTGCATTATTGGCAGAGCAGACGCTGAATGCGCACTTACATCTGGTTTGGTCTGCCGGCTTCCGTAGCGTCGTGAACGCGCAGGTGCGCGCTTTCAGGAAATCCTATACACTACTGTTTATGCTCTAAAAACATTCTAAATGACTTTGTTTCGAGTAAATTCTGGATGCTACCCACTCAGGACACTTGGAATACATTGGACGAGCAGTATGGAGGAATATTGACACGTTTTTTTGTGGACTTTTATGGACCTTTCTGTCTCGGTCACCATAGACCTCCATTATTTGAATGTCAGCAGACAGCAAGAAGCCTCCCAGATCTCCAGATGCATTTGAGATATCAAAAAAGTACTCCAGAGTGTCGTTCAGCATGGGGGTGAGTAGAAAATGAAGGCTAATCATGTTTTGGGTGTACTATTCCTTTAAAGGGGAAAGCCGTTTTTTTTTTTTACATTGGGCCCTTGATTTTACGTTATTACATCATGTTCTCACACATATATGAGTTTTGTGTCATTTGGAGCCGTTCTGAAGATATTCCGTTAGGTTATATCCAAGTAACGTCTTCCTATGGGCAACGACTTGAAGCCACAAACTAAACTGTTCATAATTTATCCATTATGGTACGCTAGCATTCATAACATGTAGGCAAATCACTGTCCCGCAGACATCCTCAGTTATATTTATATTTTTTTAAAACAAAGCGGAGTGTGTATGATGTCATTCGCGCGCCGGACTGGAGTTGTGACAGGCAGCCCGGGCAACAGGCGGCTACGCTCTACCGCTTCTATTCATTCGGCGAGCTAATCTGAATCGTTCAATTCCATGTCACTAGCAGTTCAGTGGACAGGATGAATGAACGGTAGCCGGCGTGTGCGGATGACATCATACACACACCGCTATGTTTTTAAAAGATATAAATATTAAAAAAAATAACTGTGGATGTCTGGGGGACAGTGATTCGCCTAGGTGTACCATAAATGATAAATTATGAGCAGTTTAGTTTGTGCCTTCAACTCATTGCACACAGGAAGACGTTACATGGATATTACAAAACCAAATATCTTCGGAACAGTTCCAAATGACAAAATATCGTAAATAGAAGAGGCCAATGTAAAAAAAAAAAAAACGGTGTTCGACTTTAATAAAATCTTGTTTGAAAATGACAAACAGTCTGACCTCCACCAGATCTTTCCTTGGTCTGAGCTTCAGCAGCGGCTCACTGAGCCGGATGGAACACAGTCCGCCTCGGCCTTCGTAGGAACACACACCGGCACACCTAGGTAAAGAAAAAGAATGAAAAAGAAAGAAAAACCAGGAAACAACTCAGCTACTTTTAGAAACAAAGAAATATTTTTATACCATTCACTTTTAAAATCACCAGTTAAAAAACTTTTATAAATAAATAAAGTTTTAACAAATCCCAAACTGGCTGTAAAAGGTTCTGCTATTGGTATAGAATGATATAATCCAGGTTTGGAAGTTCTGGATGTTGTAGTTTTTGAGTTAAACAAGCTTGCATGTGGTCCTGGTGCAAAAAATATAAAGAAATAAAAAAGCATTTATATGGACCTAAACTGATCCATCATTAATCAAATAAACCTTTGACAATTTAAAAACTGGGTTTAAAATAATCTACCATCAGTATAGCCCAGATTTAAAACACCATCGTTTTCTAGCGTGACTGGCTCTACTGTGGTTTAGATGCGAAAAAGCTTCAGAAAAAGCCTTTGCTTAACTTTTATAAATCATTAATTAATTACTCAATTAAATTATTTGGCAGGTACTTTAAAATATATAATCCGGGTCTAAAGTGTTTTACTGGTACTATAGAGTTTGAGCTGGACTCAAACAATATAGAAAAAAAAAAGAAACTTAATCAAAAGTTATTGAATCATGCGTTTAATGAATTCTTACAAATCCGATACAACTAGATACAGCTTTCACAATCCGCTAAAGGGGTGCAAAAGATTTAAATATTAATTTTGAGTAATTTAATCCTGGTTTGAAGAGTTTAAATATTATACTGTATAGATTAGAGTAGATTAAAGCTACTTAAGGTTTTGAGAAACGCTCCTTAGTAGTTTCCCCAAACAGAAAAGAAGGTTCTCTATTGAAAAAGGTGAAATGCTCTACTCCACCTTCAACCTTCTATCTTACGATGCTTCCTCTGTAGCGTGGCTGGATTTAGAGATAAGGCCAGAAGCTCATAGCCTCGTGAGACCATCCTGATCTTGCGAGCTTTCAAGGTTTCACTCGCAGATCAGTCTGGAGACTCCGTTAA